TGGTCTCTGTTGGTCCTGACCTGGTCTCTGTTGGTCCTGACCTGGTCTCTGTTGGTCCTGACCTGCTCTGTGTTTGTCCTGACCTGGTCTCTGTTGGTCCTGACCTGGTCTCTGTTTGTCCTGACCTGCTCTGTGTTTGTCCTGACCTGGTCTCTGTTGGTCCTGATCTGGTCTCTGTTGGTCCTGACCTGCTCTGTGTTTGTCCTGATCTGGTCTCTGTTGGTCCTGACCTGGTCTCTGTTTGTCCTGACCTGGTCTCTGTTGGACCTGACCTGGTCTCTGTTGGTCCTGACCTGCTCTGTGTTGGTCCTGACCTGGTCTCTGTTGGTCCTGACCTGGTCTCTGTTGGTCCTGACCTGCTCTGTGTTTGTCCTGACCTGGTCTGTGTTGGTCCTGACCTGCTCTGTGTTGGTCCTGACCTGGTCTCTGTTGGTCCTGACCTGGTCTCTGTTGGTCCTGACCTGCTCTGTGTTGGTCCTGACCTGGTCTCTGTTGGTCCTGACCTGGTCTCTGTTGGTCCTGACCTGCTCTGTGTTGGTCCTGACCTGGTCTCTGTTGGTCCTGACCTGGTCTCTGTTGGTCCTGACCTGCTCTGTGTTGGTCCTGACCTGGTCTCTGTTGGTCCTGACCTGCTCTGTGTTGGTCCTGACCTGCTCTGTGTTGGTCCTGACCTAGTCTCTGTTGGTCCTGACCTGCTCTGTGTTGTCCTGACCTGGTCTCTGTTGGTCCTGACCTGGTCTCTGTTGGTCCTGACCTGCTCTGTGTTGGTCCTGACCTGGTCTCTGTTGGTCCTGACCTGGTCTCTGTTGGTCCTGACCTGCTCTGTGTTGGTCCTGACCTGGTCTCTGTTGGTCCTGATCTGGTCTCTGTTGGTCCTGATCTGGTCTCTGTTTGTCCTGACCTGGTCTCTGTTGGTCCTGACCTGGTCTCTGTTGGTCCTGACCTGCTCTGTGTTGGTCCTGACCTGGTCTCTGTTGGTCCTGACCTGGTCTCTGTTGGTCCTGACCTGCTCTGTGTTTGTCCTGATCTGGTCTGTTTGTCCTGACCTGGTCTCTGTTGGTCCTGACCTGGTCTCTGTTGGTCCTGACCTGCTCTGTGTTGGTCCTGACCTGGTCTCTGTTGGTCCTGACCTGGTCTCTGTTGGTCCTGACCTGCTCTGTGTTGGTCCTGATCTGGTCTCTGTTTGTCCTGATCTGGTCTCTGTTGGTCCTGACCTGCTCTGTGTTTGTCCTGACCTGGTCTCTGTTGGTCCTGTCCTGCTCTGTGTTTGTCCTGACCTGGTCTCTGTTGGTCCTGATCTGGTCTCTGTTGTCCTGATCTGGTCTCTGTTGGTCCTGACCTGGTCTCTGTTGGTCCTGACCTGGTCTCTGTTGGTCCTGACCTGGTCTCTGTTGGTCCTGACCTGGTCTCTGTTGGTCCTGACCTGCTCTGTGTTTGTCCTGATCTGGTCTCTGTTTGTCCTGACCTGGTCTCTGTTGGTCCTGACCTGGTCTCTGTTGGTCCTGACCTGCTCTGTGTTGGTCCTGACCTGGTCTCTGTTGGTCCTGACCTGGTCTCTGTTGGTCCTGACCTGCTCTGTGTTGGTCCTGATCTGGTCTCTGTTTGTCCTGATCTGGTCTCTGTTGGTCCTGACCTGCTCTGTGTTTGTCCTGACCTGGTCTCTGTTGGTCCTGTCCTGCTCTGTGTTTGTCCTGACCTGGTCTCTGTTGGTCCTGATCTGGTCTCTGTTTGTCCTGATCTGGTCTCTGTTGGTCCTGACCTGGTCTCTGTTGGTCCTGACCTGGTCTCTGTTGGTCCTGACCTGGTCTCTGTTGGTCCTGACCTGGTCTCTGTTGGTCCCCGCAGTCAGAAGCCCCGAGGCGTATCAGGCCGACCTGAAGGCTCAGATGAAGCACCAGCAGCAGCTTCGGAGTGAGCAGAGGGATCAGGCGGAGAGGGAGCACCAGCAGGGTCTGATCCTGCAGGAGCAGTACAAACAGAGGGCCGAGGAGATCCTGTCCAGACCCGCATCTCACACCACCGCCTCACATCCTTTCAGACGAGCAGAGGGATCCAGGTCCGCCTCCTGAACAGAAGGGGGACACGTGATACGCAGAGAAACCCTGTAAGAGCTTCCTGTCCAATATATTTAGTTACAACACTGCAGGAGAGTTTTCATTATTTCCTAGTTTTCTTTTTTAGTTTTACTGAATAATCTCAGGGAGTCCAGGAGCTGCCCCCCTTTCACAGTGTGACGTCCTCAGTAAACCGGGTCCTCAGTAAAGACTAACATCGACACGCTCATTATCTTAGGTTAGCGTGTTAGCATGCAGTAAACAGCTGATGGGTATAGCATCACTGGTCAGTGCCTGATGAGGGCGCTAGAGGAGAACTTACACTTCATCCTGAGGGGGACTTGAAGGTCTGAACCTACAGCAAGCTGTTTTAACATTTATCGCTATTTAAGAGCTACTAGCACTTATTCATTAGGACTAGTACTTAACCTCGAGCTACTAGTGTCCATATATTTTATTTTTGCCATTTATATCTATCTGCAGTTCAGATATCTCCTGTTCCAACAGGCACTACAAACATTTCCATTTTACTAGTATCTATTATTTAGATACCAGTACCCGTTCAATACTTACTAGTAACTATTCCAAAAGATACTGGAAACATTTTCATTTTTACGAGTAAGACGATTTTACTAGTATCTAAAATAATCACTAGTATCTACATAATAATAATAATCTTTATTTCTAGAGCAAGTTACAAAGTGTAAAGACAATAATACAGAAACAACACAAGGTAAAAGCATGAAAAGTGACTAGTAAAACAGAAACAGTTACTAGTGACTAATAAATAAACACTAGTAGCTTTTAAATAGCGAGTAGTAAGTTTTAAGGAGTAAATGTTAAAACAGCTTCTCATACTGAAGCACATTTCATCACAATCCTGAGAGCTGCTGTTACAGTTAACAAGTAATTGTTATTCTTCTAATAATCTGTGTCGGTGACTGCGAGCCTTTAGAGATTTTAGTAGTGAAGACAAGATACAGCAAACTCTGTGAGCTGCCAGACGAACAGGCTGAAACAGACACAGCGTGAGCTCACGAGATGACACACAGCACTCACACCTGGAGGGCCGGTATCCTGGCGCCCGTTGGGCAATACGCTGTTTGCCGAAGGTGTGTTTTATTGTGAAAGAATCACCCAGCAGGAAGAAACAGCGACTCTTTGAAAACTGATCTATTGTCAGTTTCGGCTCAGAGTAATAAAGTCGTCACAAGATGTTCAGTTTGATGTGAAGTGAAATGTTTCAATAATCAGTGATAAAGATTGTTGTTGTTTAATTTAAAGTCGATCACTCTGCTCCAGGAGTACTTCTGCTTGTGATATTGACAGTACATTTTGCTGATAACACACAGTTTTGAATGCAGTACTTTCACCTGTAGCGCAGTATTAAAGTACTGCTTCTTTTACTGTTGTTAAAGATCTGAATAATTCTCCCACCGCTGCTTCCAGGAACGTGGTGACACTTTATTTTGTCGGGTTTCTTTTTTCTAGTTTCTACTTTCCTGGAAAGAACTTTGTAATTTTAATAAACTCTTAAGTCTCAAAGTCGAGTGGCGTCATCATTAAACACGGTCTCAGTAGGTTAAATAGACGCGTCGCAGGACTCGCTCAGAGTTCAGCGTCAACGCTCTCAGGGTGTGAAGATGTTACTCTGACTCCAGCTGCTCTGTGAAACCGGCCTCAACGTCTCTGAGAGTCTCCTGGAAAATGTTGCGCAAACACCAAACAGAAACTGTTTCTGCACAACGTCATTACATCACACATGGTGACAGGGTGGACAGAATAACACGAACACCTCAACACAGTCAAAAGTAAAAGTAAAGTCAGCACAGAGATGAATCTGTCTGAAGATGCTCAATAAAACGGTTTAAACAAAACATCCCTACTGGTTCTCCAGCAGGAACGTCGCCATGGACACCAGATATAAAAACCCTGGTATACTACGAGTGCAGAGAGGGTACCTGGCGCGCGAGGCTTAATGAACTCGTCTGTCTTGAATTTAATAGATGTTCATTTACATGTCAAAGTCCTGCAGATTTAAAGCTGCAGCTGGTTTTAAAGTTTAAACTTTTTGGCATATTTACTGAAACGGTCTCTGCGTCCTGACAGCAGTACACAGATAATCAGGCTCCTCTGGCTCCTCCTACTGCTCCTGATGCCATTTTCAAGAATCCACTGAAGAAAGCAACCAATCAGAGCCAGGTTCAGTGACACAAACAAGGGGATAACATCTGGGGGGGGTAGGAAACGTCAGAGGGGCGAGTCGCGTTTCCAAGGCTTGTGGGTTTGGTGGGCGGGGCTCAGTGGACTGATTCGGGCAGCAGAAGGTTTTTGCGTTGCGGGTTCAGTTTTTACCGACTGCTGCTTTAACTGTTTCAACATATTGTCAAATCTACAAACACAGAAAGACTAAGAATCAATTAAAAAGTAACTGAAATAAATGTTCAAGGTTCAATCCCCCACTGTGACCATCCACCACTGTGTCCCTGAGCAAGACACTTAACCCCTCGTTGTCCAGAGGCGCGACCTCTGACATGTAGAGCAGCTGTAAGTCGCTTTGGATAAAAGCGTCAGCTAAATGAATAAATGTAAATTAAAGTAAACTGAAATTAAAAGCAACACAACAGTCACATGAAGGCCTGACGGACTCTCTCTTTGTCTAGAATCCCAGCTGACCCTAACCTCTGAAAAAGTTTCTGCTCAGCGTGATCACGTACGTTAGCATCCTGCTGTTAGCATCCTGCTGTTAGCACGGCTGCAGGAAACACCTGACCCGTGTGCAGAGTGAGAAACTTCTCATAAAACCATTTGCCTTCACGCTTGTGGCAGGAGGATAAAGCCTGTTCTGGGTGGACCGGCGTCTCAGAGCCGCAAGCAGGTAAACACCTCATACCTGCAGAAGGAGTGGTTTGGGAGTGGACTCATTACCTGATGTAAGAATAACAGTTTATGCTCAGACAGGTCTGAGATATGCTGCTTTCCACAGTCAGCTGAGCTGAAGCAGCACAGTATGTTCGGGACCTTCTGACTGCACCGGAGGACCTGCCGAGGGACGCGATGGCGAGACAGTACCACCTGTACGCTAAGGTAAAGCTGCTTTTTATCTGTCTTCACTGCATCAGAGGCTGCTGATCTCTGGTTAATGTTCACACACACACACTATCAGCGAGTTCCTGCCAGAGCTGCACAGCGATAAGACCGCTCTCCTTGGAGGCCTGAAGGAGGGTCAGCACATTTTCAAGGAGTCAGAATCCGTCACCTACAAGTTAAAGTGCAGCAGGAACACGTGACAATCTGCTAAGGGTAAAAGTCCTGCGTTCAAAATGTTACTCAAGCTAAAAAAGTATTATCAGCAAAATGTACTTCAGGCTGAGAGTTATGGATTCATGTGAACGCAGTGTTTAAATGTTTCTCTCCTCTTCTAACCAGCCTCCCAGCTCAGAGAGTGATCAGTTTGTATCTGTTGAGTAAAAGGGAAAACGTATAAAGTGGCCTCAGCTACGCGACGGTCCCGTCCAGATTACCCAGATACCTTTGCGGCCTCCTTAACTTCTGTCAACACGGAGCAGCTTTTAAAGTCTCCAGGGCTGTTTAAAGTTGGAAGGTTCTGCCTTTTGATTTTGCGCATCCTCGTCGTGGAACTCCTGACAGAAGACCCTGCAGTTAGAGGAGCTGGGGCCCCTCGGGAGGTCGGGGCCCTTCAGGAGGCGTGTAGGTGTTTCCCAGGCTGTTCTGACCAGGTCTCCCAGATCACATCTCAGTGGGCCTCCTCCCGGTTAAATAAAATGGGAAACGAGTAAAAGTACTTTAAGTTACCTGCCAGCAGAGGTATAATGTGCTGAAACCTCCTTCGATGACACGCCCACTTTATTGTGTTTGTGAATCTTTATTCACTTTTATTTCCTCATGTTAAAGTAGTGAAACACTTTTACTCAAGTACTAAAGTACAGTTCAGGTCTTTGAACTTATTTCCTGCTTTATAATTCTACTTTACTACATGTCAGGGGGATATACAGTGATATAGTACTTTTTACTGCACTGCATTATTCTCTGCTACAGACATAATAATAATACAATATATGAAATATGACATGACAATCTGCTGAGAGTACTTAGGTACATTTATAGGTGTGCTCAGTCTTTTCTTTCTCTGCAGTGATCAGATTAACCAATCAGAGGCCAGGAGGAGGCTGCCCGAAAACACTGGATCCTACATTTCCCACAATGCAACCAGTTAGAGCTGAAATGACAAGTTGATTAATTGAATCTATTTTGTTTAAGCAGAAAGATACGTTTAACATCGTCTCCTCGAGTTCTTCCTCACATCATATCGACCCAACGATTGACTGATTAACGAAGAAACTGACCTAAAAGCGTTCCAGGCGCACGAGTCCAAACATGGCTGACACAAATAAATTCCTGCTAACTTTGCTCCTGTGCAGCTGCATCGATACGTTTATTTCCTGATGTTTTCCCGAATAACTTCAGAGATTGTTTACTGGAACCTTGATGACATCTTAATTAACTGCAGGCGGATGTACTTCATGTTGCCTTTTATTTGATTGTTTTACATTAAGTGCTGCCGTTGTGACGTCAGACAGCTGCATGAAGTCGGGGGAGAAGGATTTACTGACTTTGATGTTGCGTTCAGGTGTACTTTTCCTACTTGCATGTTGGAGATTTGTGCGCTCCGAGTTGTCTGGACGCAGCACTCCTGTACAAAAACCAAACTTTACAACTTTGTTCACTGGTTCTGGTGAACGTGCTGAAGTGGGGGAAGGAATTTTAGGAATTTACTGTTTATCAGATGAGACAAAACTTTAATCGGTGATTTTGGTGAAACTGGATCAGATTGTTGGTCAAATCAAACAAATATGCCTGATTAACAGTCGTCCACAGAAGTGTGTGTAAATGGATGGTGAGTGAGCGCTGTGAAAACACCACAGTGTAATTGTTCATTCTAAAAACAGCAGAAAAACACGTTTAAAACATGCCGTGGATATTTCAACATGATGCAGCAGCTCCATCAATATATGACATAAGATGTAGTAACATGGGGTAAACCCCCCCCACAGTAACTCTAACAGAAAACACAAAATGACACAATTTTCTTTCTCAACATTTCTTCTGGCTCATCTCAAAAATGTCCTCAGATTTTTTTCTCATTTAATTTTTTTCTCATTTCTGCATTTTTTTTGTAATTGTGTTCAATTTACAGGCGATATATATTTACATTAAGGGAGCCAGAGGAAAATGCCTTTTTCCTGTAAGATACATTTGATTAAATACAAATGAATGTGTCGCCTGTAGGTAGTTATTTTGCGGAGCATGGCCTCCTGCAAGAAACAAAACAAACTATAAAATATTATTTTATGTGTCAGCAAATAGACATTGAGCTGGGGGGGGGGTTGATTTATTTGTATTGACTGTATTGATGAACACGTGAGCGTAAATCCTCTCGTGACCCTCTCCGGGGTCCCGAGCCTCATGTTGAGAACCTGTGATCCTGCTGCAGTGCTCCGCTGATCCAGTTGGTGTGTAAGTGTGTAAGTGTGTGAGTGTGTGAGTGTGGATCCCTCTCCGCTGACAGGAAGTGATCTTTATTACTTCTGTTCTTTCTGGATTTACTGCTCATTTCTCGGCTCTGTCCTCGCGCCGGATGTGTGACCGCAGGTCCTGATCAGCGGACTGATTATCGATTACTGAAGCTGAAGCTGCGCCAAACAGCCTGACCGAAACTCCTCCGGGATCGGCTGCCTGCACCGGGAGCACCTGCCCGTACTGCACCGGGAACACCTGTACCTGGCCGGGGACATGCGGACTGGAAGGTGTCCGGTGTCTCACCTGGTTTAGAGGAACAAACTTCCGGATGAACGGATTATGATGGATCCTTAACGGGAGCGACAACACGGCCGACGTAGTGTGTTCGTTCAGGGAGGAATACTCGCGGGAGCATGTCTGTGAACGAGCTGTACACAAAGGTGAGCCATTTTACCTGAAACCCACAGCGACGTCACTCCGAGGAACAGAGTCCGTGTGTTTCCCGCCGGAGTCTCAGATTCCAGCTTGGACTCGGTCTAACATGGACCCGTGCTCTCCCAGGTTAAACTTTCACAGCCTTCAGACCTCCGTGTCTTTTTCGACACGAACCAGACTTCATGTTATTTCTGTGAGACTTTGAGTGCTGAGTCGCCTGTTCGTTCCAGCCAGGTTAGCGTGCGGCTGCAGGTGATCCTGAGCAAAAGTTTAAATCATGTGCAAACTGTAGCTGTGTGCTGGTTTATATGTGAGCCGACTGTTCCAGCTGGGTGGACAGATCTTAAGTCAAGTCATGTTCTTAGACTCTGTTTGTTGTAAGCGACGCTCGGCTTTAAATGTACGTATTTGTAAATGAGTTCAACTGAGCAGACAGGTGCAGAACCTGCGCGACTTATTATTAGTTCTTCTTCTTCTCATGTTACAGTTAAAGCAGACAGGTGCAGAACCTTCTTCTTCTTCTCATGTTACAGTTAAAGCAGACAGGTGTGTGACCTCTGTCTTATAAACAGTGTCTAAATAAAACAACAAACCTGATTTCAAACCTTTATTGACACACATTCAAAAGGTCACTGTGATGTCATCACACTACAAGCTGGAGTTTTGAAAGACTTGGCTGTTTACCTGACAGGGAGGATCCGTCCAGGTGGATTGTGGGAAATGTAGGATGCAGTGCTTGTGGAGTGGAAGTCAGCTGTTTTCATTTTCGTGAATGAAGCCGCGTTTAAAGTTTCTGACTTCCTGATTCTGTGTGTGGTTCACCTGAGAGACAGACGGCGGGTCCGGCTAAATGTTGTGAACCAGACCAGGACCAGGACCTCAGAGCTGCCAGACTTTCCTTTCTACTTTCTGTAAGGTCTTTGTAATGGAGGTGAAGTTCTGACGGCTGCGCTGAACTCAGCAGGTATTGATCTCTCGGCTGAGATAAACGGGCTGATGATAAGTGGCAGCTCAGAAGTTATTGATTATTCCTGTTTAATGAGATGAGGAACAGATTTTATAATCTGCTGCTGAGAGTCAGCGATTCTTTCCATCATCTGTTAATCTGCCCATTCTTTTGTCCAGAAGATGGTGAAAAAAGTCCAGCGTGACTTTGTCATCTAGTTTTAGTCCAAAGAGTTTCAGTTTGTTACTGAACATGACGGAGAAGCAGAACAGCTGACCAGGTTCCAGCGAGAGATCTGACCACTGATCCGCGTCACAGTCGTGATAAAGGTCCCTCTCTGAGATCAGGATCAGTCCGTTAATCAGTCGGTTGATTGGCAGTAAACATTTCGTCCTCGTTGACGAACATCAGATGCTGCTCAGCTGACCGTCCTCCCCTCATCCTCCCTCAGTTGACCTCGCTGCACCGCCACCAGCTGGTCATCAGGCCGCCGTCTGGGCTGCAGATTTCCCTTCTGATTCTGTTTGCGTGAGTTCAGCAGCTCGGGCGTGCTCTGCACCTCCACCTGTGTCAGTGCGAGGAGACTAATGTGGTTCGGACACAAACGGCTCGCACCAGCCCCGCTGAGCGCAGCTCTGAGGGAGCCGCCGCACCGGCGTTTGGTTCCTGAAGCAGTGACGTCATCACCTTATCTTCACATGTTCTGCTTTAATGAGAATGATTCACTTTGAGTGCAGCTAGAGGAGGATGTTTGTTCTGATGATGACTTCAACATCACGCTGCTTCCTGTTTCACGTCAGCGTCTGCTAGTTGAAGGTCAGCCTGACGCTGGAGACGTGGTCCAGACTCTGAGACTCTGTCAGACTCTAGAAATCTGGATCGGCTGTTTGTGTGTTTTATTTCCTGAGAGCAGATTATTAATCTCCTCTGTAATCCCTCCTCCTGGACTCGGCCCACATCATTAAATAGGGCCACTTAAAGCCTCCTCACCCGCTGTGAGACTAAATAATCCAGAGCCGCGGGGGCCGATCCTGCAGCTCCATCTGGTCCGGGTCTGAGACTCGGGCTGAGTCATGGATCCTTCTGTGTTGGAGGTTTATCTTTATTTATGATCAGCGATGCTGTTTGAGGCCTGCGGGTCCTGCTGGTGCTGTCTTTGAACTGAGGATATAAATAGATCCAGGTCCCGGGGCCCCACGGGTACAGGAGCCCACAGCCAGAGCTTCAGTTTGTCAGCGTTTCTTCAGCTAGAACGTCGGGTTATCGTGCGTGACGGTGGGATGGCGAGGGGAAACAGGAGGCTGCTGGTAGTGTTTCAGCAGGAGGAGGTCTTCAGATTCAGGATTAGACCCTCTGCTGGAGCTGGGGGGGGGGGGTAAATCTGACAGGATTAACATTAGTTGCATCTGTTTGCTGATGTCCGTGTCTCTAATCACCTCCACCTCATGAGGGGGGCGGGGTCAGTCATCAGCAGGGACGAGGTTCTGTCCTTGAAGCACTAACCCCTGAATGTGTCTTTCTCTCTAACACGGCTCCCTTTAATGTTAGAAACTCTCCTGATACGCCACAGAGGAGTACGTTCGGTCTGTGGGGAGCAGAGCTGGTGAGTAAAAACAAGGTGGAGAATGAAGTCTAATGAAAATAGGAAGCACACGTGGACGCTGGACAGGTTTTGGTTTCCTCCATCTCACACTTGGCTTCGATGTAAAACTGAAAGTTTGGCCCCCTTCCTGGAAAACGCTGATTCATATCGTGGATCAGAATAAAATCTGCTGCTGTACATGCGCAGTAGCAGAAAAAGGCTTTTTAAACCTTTACAAAGTTATCAAACTGTTTCCTGCTGATTCTGTTCATGTAGTTTTTATGTCGTGGTGACCTGTGAAAGTGAAGCTCTGGCTCTCTGCCCATTCATTCAGACAGGAGCCCAAACAGCTGCCTGGAGGCGGTGCCAAGGTGGCGGCCGAGTGGCCACATTGGAGTCGCCCGGTCCTCCATTAAAATCCACCATAAACACAAAACTGCAACTTTCATACGAGAGAAAAACATTTAAAAGACCGACACGCTCGGGCTGCAGCTATCGGTTATGTTAGCAATCGAGAGTCATCGAGGAATCGGAACAGAAATCTTTTCGCCTGGCGCCGGGATCGGCTGGTGACTCACTGTAACGTTCCAGTCCAAACTCCAGGCGGCGTTTACTTTGCTAGCTTTCATCTTAGCTCATGATGTAGCTTTAATGCTAACGTTAGCTTGTTTGGGCTCCGCTCTGTGGACTGGAGCTTCGGTTTTCCAGCAGACTGGCTGCACAGAGCTGCAGATTTCTGTCGGCTTGAAATGATCCCACACTCTCTTCTTCCTCCGCAGCATCAGCGCCTTGTGCAACAGTAATAACCGTCGGTGTGAAACAGGGCGCTGAATTCAGCTGTATGGGTTAAATGAAGCGTCGATGCTTTTTAGGAATCTAGTTATTCGAGTTTCTCGATGAATCATTTCAGCCCTGAAACCCACAAACACACGATCAGCCACCAGACGTGGACCAGCTGAGCCGCAGAAGCCTTCTAAATGTTTTTGAAAGAGAGTGAGCAAGAAAAAAATGAAATCCAATAAATGAATCCAGTGAAAACTGAACTGGTGGTGAGTTTCTTCTTCACGCCTCCTGTGGTGCAGCTGAACGTGACACAGGGTGGTGGTTCTGGTCTCTGCTGGTCTGTTTGTGGAGCGCTGCTGGGGGACGTCCTCCACTGGGACCATTTCTACTAGAGATCAAGTGTCCTGATCAGATTCAGTTAACTAATAAACGTAGTCCACCTTTAGGGGGGCAGCCCAGCTGAATGCTGACTCAGTGGAGCTGACAGTTACTGAATCTGGCACACCTGGTTTCTGAGCTACTTGAAGGTCCTGATTCAGAGCTGTGAAGCTTATCTGATGTGAGTGAAAGTTTATCTGACTGGCGTGAGACGCCTCTCTTGGACACAGAGGATCTTCGTTCAGGCTCGCAGACCGACGGCGGCAGATAAGAGCCGTCCGTGACCTTTGGCTTCCTGTGTGGAATGCAGCTGTGGCGTGCTGTGGGACACACCCGGCCTTCACCCGCAGGCTGATGTCATTGCGCTGACACGTCGCTGGGCGCGGCTCGGGGGTTTCACCGGTGAGCCTGTCAGCGTGCAGGAGAAACGCAGCTCGGCGTGGAAACCTGAGAGCGCCCGCCGACCTCCTTTAAAACCGTCCAATCAGGAGCAGGAAGCTCTGACTGACTCTCACCTGACGACCTGTTAATCACGTTCTGACACGCGGTCGACATTTTTCTGTGGTGTGTGGTTTTTCAGCTGAAGACTCGTCTTTCATACTGAACCCGTCCAACAGCTCCTGCTCCTCCCGCCCACGGCGAGCTCCATAAAGGCTGAGTGGCTCAGTGCTGCAGAGTCGTTGTTTCTGTGATTCTCCTGCAGAACTAAAGACTTTCCCATCAGCCCCTGCTGCACGCGGTCTTTACTGCTAGTTAGCTAATGTTGGCCCCTGTGACGACTTCATTCATTCATTCACACCAGGATGAACTTTCTCTCAGTCCTGTTGTCCTCGTCTGCAGGACAGATTCCAGACTACAGAGTGGCTTCATGTCTGACATGTTCCCTCGTCCCCGGGAACAAACAGCAGCTCTCTTTATGTTCGATATCACAACTACAACAAGTGTCTGTGTGTGTGTGTGTGTGTGTGTGTGTCTCTGTGTGTCTCTGTGTGTGTGTGTGTGTGTGTGTGTGTCTCTGTCTGTGTGTGTGTGTGTGTGTGTGTGTGTGTCTCTGTGTGTCTCTGTGTGTGTGTGTGTGTGTGTGTGTGTGTGTGTCTCTGTGTGTGTGTCCTCATTCCTGCCTGTGCTTCCTGCTGTGATGCTCTACATGCAGACGACATGCTGCACAGCCATTGGCTGCTTCCTGGCAGCGTCCCAGATAAACAGACAGCTGATGGGCTTCATGTTATGACACAGGGCTTCCCTGATTGGCCCCTCCTGTAGTCTTAGGGCCCCAGGTCAGAGACTGTTAGTGGTTCCCCACACTGCTGGCTGTGGAACACTTTGCCTCTCTGTCTCTCTCTCTGTGTCTCTCTCTGTCTGTCTCTCTCTCTCTGTGTCTCTCTCTCTGTCTCTCTCTCTCTGTGTCTCTCTCTCTGTGTCTCTCTGTCTGTCTCTCTCTCTCTGTGTCTCTCTCTCTGTGTCTCTCTGTCTCTGTGGTTTAACTTGCATTGATTCTTTTAGAAAGACAGACAGGCAGACGAGGGTTTGATGTTTGTCTTCTTTATTGTTTGTATTGTATCACAGTGTTTCTGCAGACAGACGCGTTCATTAAAGTTCAGAACAGTGACGGGCGTTTCAAGCAGGAACAACTATTCTACCGTTGTTGGAGGGACCCACAGCTGAGTTTGGCCCCGGGCCCCCTAACAGGTTACTCCAGCCTCTTGTTTAGGAAGTTACATCAGATCAACTTCATTGATCTCCACGCAGGCAAACAGACGCAGCAGCAGCAGTTCAGGGATTTAAGATCGTCAGAGTGATGAGAGGAAAGCTCTGCTCTGATTGGTGCAGCTCAGCCTGCAGCAGTAACTAGTATAAATAAAAAGTATAAAGTCTTTACTGTGCTCATGAATCAGTTTTCCAGTTCCAGCACGGATTGGTTTTTATTTCTATGGCACTTTCAAATTTAAATAAACAGGCCGCTGCCTTCAGACGGCGGCTCCTCGCCTGTGTGTGTGTCTGTGTGTGTGTCTGTGTGTGTGTCTGTGTGTGTGTCTGTGTGTGTGTGTGTGTGTGTGTCTGTGTGTGTGTGTGTGTCTGTGTGTCTGTGTGTGTGTGTGTCTGTGTGTCTGTGTGTGTGTGTGTCTGTGTGTGTGTGTGTGTGTATAATAATATAATAACGACCTTCCTTCGTGTCAGCTTTACGAGCAGCTTGACTTCCTGTCTCAGGTTAATGAGTAGTTTGTTGTTTGTTGTTCGTTGTTAATGTTTATTGTTTCCTGCTGTCCTCCTGCGGTTTCCTGCAGACGTGGACATTATTATATTTGCCTCATTAATCCATCAATCACTGTGTCACCAGCACAGGTCGTGCAGAAAGAGCAACACTGAAAAACTAAGAATGAAAATAATCTCATTAAACGAGGGGGATTCTCTGTCAAAACTCTGAGAACACGTCCCAGATTAACGTCCAAGCATCGGCTGGAAACAGGAAGTTGCGCCAGACCGTAACGCTCTGTCTCTGGCTTGGTGATGAACCAGTAGATAGCTTTGACACGCTCCAGGTGAGCTCACCTGGACGAGCGTGTGCTGTCGTGACATCACCGCCTGCAGCTGCTTTTAATGCAAATCTGCCTCGCTGAGAGCAGAAAGTCGTTTGAATAAAAGGTCACGTGACGCGATGACATCATTAAACGCGCGGCCGGTTCACTGTGCAGCTCAGCGGACTGTGTGAGCGGCATTGAGACTGAGGATCAGTTTCATCCACCAGGCTGATAGGATGCTCTGGACTTCCCCTCTGCCCCAAACATCTAGACCGCCAACCCTGAACTTTCACACACTCTGTTACACGCTGGAGGGGCGGAGTTTCAAAGGCGGAGGGGGGGAATGTATGATCCCGTGTCTTGGGAGTTTGACCCAAAGATGTCTTAGTCCAGTCTCACAGAGCTGCCAGCGGAGACGTGGTGTTGTGTCGCCCTGAGTTCTGTCTGCAGGTTTCAGCCTGGTGACTCCTCCCTCAGGAATCCTGCTTGATATGAATATCGATCGTCACCTGATTCAGGATTATTTTGCCCGACTGGAAGCAAATCATTGTGTTTATTTGACAGGCTGTGTGTGTTGACTGTTGGGGAATATGAGATGGCGGGGGCCCGGGGCCACCTTCACCGGGGCCTACCTGATGACTCAGCAGCTGTTGCTGGCTCTGTGCTTCACAGGTCAGAGACGTACAAACTGAATGTAGGTTAAAGTGTTTAAAGGAAACAGGTCTGTTGAGTCTGAGACGCCGCTGCTCTCTGCCCCCCCCCTCAGAAACAGACTGAGTCAGCAGGTTGGTGACTGATGTTGCACTTCTTACTTCTCCCTGAGGGTTCAGGGTGGAAACGCTGCTCGGCCGCTGGCTGGACCTTGTTAATCTAAACGCTGTGTGCTGACTCAGCATATGTGAATTCTTCATATGTGCGTGTTCATGACTCAGCATCCACAGCTGATCTCCATCATCCAGTCAGACAGAGGCTCCTCCCCAAAATGTGAGGAACAAAGAAACCGCTGTCCTCGTCCTCTCAGTGAGACTCTGAGGAAATGAGCTGCCTGTTTATTGGCTGATACTCCATATTCAGACCAGGACGAACTGTCAGAACTTCCTGCGGCGCCATCATGCGGATGGGTTTCAGTTAAACCTCTCTGCAGTCGTACTTCTCTCCTTCAGATTTTATCTCCTCGGGCTTCTCGGCGAGTCGTTAATATCGTCCCTCTCCTCTCAGCTCTGTGTGAAGTGCTGCAGACGGTTTCATCGCTGAGCGTGATGAGGTTGTGTCTGTGATTAGTGATGAAGTGATTATCAGTGAAGAGCTAATGAAGCCTTTGATCAGGAAGAGAGACTTTGTTCATCTGCAGAAGCTCAAGATAAAAGTCCAGAGAGAGAGAAGTCTGCTGGACTTTTACTTTCGGACAGTTCGGAGGAGTTTGTACTTTAATCACTACTCCGCCACATTTCTCTGACACAGTATCACTTAGAGTTCGGCTTTCTTGTGCATCATCTTTAGAAGAGGCTTCCTTCTGGGACGACAGCCATGCAGACCGGTTTGACGCAGTGTGCGGCGTACGGTCTGAGCCCTGATAGGCTGACCCCCCCCCCCCCCCCCCCCCCTTCAACCACTGCTTTTACTTTCTTCTGAACGACATTCAAAAGACACTCTAGTTTGCACGACACACATCTGAAAAAGCCGTCAGTAAACGTGTGACTGGATTCCCCTGAATATCTTCAGCGTCCGTAGGTTTATGAATGCGGAACTCTGGGACGTGTTCACACTTTTTCACATGCTCTATTGTGAGCACGTGAAAAAGTGTCCTTAATTTGTTAAATGGAAAAAAAAACGTGCAGTTAGTTGGAATCGAGCTTCCAAACGGGAGTCCCGCACAGTACCGACTGAGCTAAACGTGCACACAAATACTCAAAGATTTGAAATAATTGGACTTTGTTCTGGCCCGCCATGTCAGGGCTTGAAACAATTTGGCCCGATGCCAGACCGCTGGCCTCGGCCATCTTTATGTAGAGCAGCCGTTCTTTGTTTCAGGTCCTCAGAGTTCTTTGCCGTGAGGTGCCATGTTGAACTCCCAGTGAGCGGTATGAGGGAGTGTGAGAGCGACAACGCCACATTTAACACTCCTGCTCCCCGTTCACACCTGAGACCCTGTAACACTGTGTGATGTGTTATTTTGAGGGGACAGCAGATTTACACTGTCATACAGTCACTACTTTACACTGGAGCAAAGGGTCATTTCTGCAGTGTCGTCACATGAAAAGATAGAATCAGATATTTACAGAAATGTGAGGGGAGGACTCACTTTTCAGATTGATATTTTACATAAACACAGATGAGAGTCTTAAAGACTACGCTGTGTGTTTCTTTCCTCTCCCATCACGCGTCTGACGGCCCCTCGGGTTCATCTGTTTTACTGCGATTATTCGGGGCCATTAAAACATGAATCCGTGCTGTGGGCAGAGAGACGCTGGGATCCTGCTGGACGTGTTTACTGATTAAATGATGTGCTTGTTTCAGTTCACCCGGGTCTGGATCCCCGACCCCGAGGATGTGTGGAAGGCTGCGGAGATCACCAGAGACTACAAGGAGGGAGACCCGGTCCTTCACCTCAAGCTGGAGGATGAAACGGTATTTGTAGCCTTTTCCTTCCCGGCAGGTGTTCTCTCACAACATCTCGTCTCTTCCCTCTTGTGCACGAGTTACCTGTTAGTAACAAACATGAGGGAGTGACGGGTGTGAAGCTCTCCGGTCACGTGGAAGTCATCGTGTGTGTTGATGTGTTGTCGGTCTCTTCCTGTCCCAGCCTCTGGAGTATCCCGTGGGTCCAAAGAGTAACGCTCTACCTTTCCTGCGTAACCCCGACATCCTGGTGGGGGAGAATGACCTCACCGCTCTCAGTTACCTGCACGAGCCCGCCGTCCTGCACAACCTCAAAGTCCGCTTCCTGGAGTCCAACCACATCTACACGTACTGCGGTCAGTCCCTGCCGCGAGCTCTGTGTGCGGCGCTGGCGTCGCTGGCGGCCCCGTGTAACCGTGTGTTCCTCTGCAGGGATCGTGCTGGTGGCCATCAACCCGTACGAGCAGCTGCAGATCTACGGAGAGGAGGTGATCACGGCCTACAGCGGGCAGAACATGGGCGACATGGACCCGCACATCTTTGCTGTGGCTGAGGAGGCGTACAAGCAGATGGCCAGGTCAGATCACACGGGTCCTTTACATGATCAGACTTTACTGATCCTCAGAGGAGACCCTGGTCCGCAGAGACCACGTGAGCTGCACTGGGAACAGTTCACACGTGGGCGTAGTCCTGTAGTTCTGCCCGCCCACAGAGGAGCAGTAGGTTTCAGGGTCGTCGTGTTGTAGAAGCTGTCAGCTGAATCTGAATCTGTTATTTATATTTATAAAATATTTTTCGACTTGCTGAGTAAAAAGGTGTAAGCAACAATACCAAACCGCTCCTGGAACAACAACCTACTAACTAAAATAAATAAATAATAATCCGACTCTTTTCTTGAACTCTGAACTGTTTCTGATGAATTTATCAAACGTCTAACGTGCGTCAGAGTGTGGACACGATGAAACTGTGTGCGCTTGTTTCCAGAGACGAGAGGAATCAGTCCATCATAGTGAGCGGAGAGTCCGGAGCGGGGAAGACGGTCTCTGCCAAGTACGCCATGCGGTTCTTCGCCACGGTGGGAGGCTCGTCCAACGACACCACCGTGGAGGAGAAGGTGCTGGCCTCCAGCCCCATCATGGAGGTGAGGCGTCCTCACAGCATTCACATTCAAGCTTCATCAAAACTTTCCAGGAGTCCAGGTTACAGCTGATCCTCACCTCCTCTGGAGCCGTGAAGTATTGATGGTGTTGACTGATGACCCTGTCCTCTCTGTCCTCTCTGTCCTCCCGTCCTCTCCGTCCTCCCTGTGCTCCCTGTCCTCTCTGTCCTCTCTGTCCTGCCTGTCCTCCCCGTCCTCTCTGTCCTCCCCGTCCTCTCTGTCCTCTCTGTCCTCCCCGTCCTCTCTGTCCTCTCTGTCCTCCCCGTCCTCCCCGTCCTCTCTGTCCTGCCTGTCCTCTCCGTCCTCTCTGTCCTCTCCGTCCTCTGTCCTGCCTGTCCTATCCGTCCTCCCTGTCCTCTCTGTCCTCTCCGTCCTCTCTGTCCTCCCCGTCCTCTCTGTCCTCTCTGTCCTCTCTGTCCTGCCTGTCCTCTCTGTCCTGCCTGTCCTCTCCGTCCTCTGTCCTCCCTGTCCTCTCTGTCCTCTCCGTCCTCTCTGTCCTCTCTGTCCTCCCCGTCCTCCCCGTCCTCTCTGTCCTGCCTGTCCTCTCTGTCCTCTCTGTCCTCTCCGTCCTCTGTCCTGCCTGTCCTATCCGTCCTCCCTGTCCTCTCTGTCCTCTCCGTCCTCTCTGTCCTCTCTGTCCTCTCTGTCCTCTCTGTCCTCCCTGTCCTCCCTGTCCTCCCTGTCCTCTCTGTCCTCCAGGCGATCGGAAACGCAAAAACCACTCGTAATGACAACAGCAGTCGGTTTGGAAAGTACATCCAGATCGGTTTCAGCCGGCGGTACAACATCATCGGCGCCAACATGCGGACGTACCTGCTGGAGAAGTCCCGGGTGGTTTTCCAGGTCAGTGGCGTGCTGGGCTTCACCGTCCTTCACCGTGTGGTGGATTTTATTTAACGCTGGACCTGTTTGTCTCTCAGGCCGAAGACGAGAGGAACTACCACATATTCTACCAGCTGTGTGCCTCGGCCAGCCTACCGGAGTTCAAGGATCTCGGCCTCAGTGAGTCCACCTTTCGTGGTTACAGGGGAGATGTGTCCTGGATTTAGAGACAAAATGTGGGTTTGAAGATCAGTAAGATGAAGAGGAGTGATTCGTATTCGTAAGAGAGAAACAGCTTCACGGGTCAGGACCTTTATTACTGAAGGTGCTCAGATTAAACCGGGTCCCTCTGGTGATCTGGAGTCTCTGGTTCACAGAGGGGGGGCAGCGAGTTCAGAGGAAGTCTAAGATCTTTATTGGCCCTCATGCTGGAGGGTTTATGGTCTGTGATGACAGACAGGATTTATGATTTAAATGATTCAACAACTGAAACCTTTAAACCGGGAACCTGAAGGTCTGAGAGTCCAGGAGGGAAACCTGAATCTGTCTCTTCCAGCGTCACAAAGACGTTTCCTGTCAGCACGTTAATGAACTAATCTTTTCAGTTCTCTTAACGAGGGCAGGACCCTTCAATAAGAAATACTTGTCTGAGTAACGTGTTGTCCTTCTCCTGATTGGTTCTCTGTTTGCGGTTCAGCCAGCGCCGAGGACTTCCACTTCACGTCTTTAGGGGAGAACATCTTCATCGAGGGAGTGAACGACGCCGAAGACTTTAAAAAGACCAGGGAGGCCTTCGCGCTGCTGGGTGAGGAGAGACCGAAACAAACCTACGAGGGCCGAGGCCGCCTGAAAAGGGGTCTGAGGGGGCGGAGTCAGCTCCCTCTAATAACTGTGTGTGCCTCCAGGTATCAAGGACAGCAGTCAGAGCAGCATTTTCAAAGTCATCGCCGCCATCCTCCACCTGGGCAACATCGTGATCTCCTCGGAGCGAGACGGAGAGTCCTGTCACATCTCGGTACGTCACCATGGTTACCGCTCACGCCGACGATCAGCAGGTGGGAGCGAGCGTGCGTCCTCTAACGGGTGACGCTGCGTGTGTGTGTGTGTGTTGCAGGGCGACGACCTCCACCTGAAGCACTTCTGCCGGCTGCTGGGCGTGGAGCTGCAGCAGATGCAGCACTGGCTCTGCCACAGGAAGCTGGCCACCACGTCCGAGACCTACGTGAAGAGCATGTCCAGCAAGCAGGCCAACAACGCCCGCGACGCGCTCGCCAAGCACATCTACGCTCGCATGTTCGACTGGATCGTGGAGCACATCAACAAGGCCCTGCACACCTCCTCCAAGCAGCACTCCTTCATCGGAGTCCTGGACATCTACGGGTGAGACCAGCTTCCTCTGAGCTGAGGTGCCGCTCTGAGCCGCAGCATCACACGCCAGAAACGCAACATATAAGTTACAGCCTCTTCTACGGATCGCTATCGCTGCTCGATACCTTTATGGGACCATCAGCAGAACCCAAACGTCAAACCAGATCGCAGCAAAAAAAGACTTTTGTATAGTTTTACTTGCAGCCAAGCAGATCGTAGAAAACAGTCCACGCTGATTCTGAGAGCCTCTCTCCTTCGGCTGCGGCTCAGTTGGTTTCTCACCACAAGCTCGGCTTTTCTTTGGTTTCATCTCCCGGCGTCATGTAACGCGTCTCTGTACATTTCATTTTCTCTTCACATCAGCTGTCTCTGATCAGCTGATTTCACTGCTTTGACCGGCTGGACGTGCGGCTTCTTTCCTGTGTGTAGTTTAGAGACTTGCTTGTTTTCTACTTCTTACTGCCGTCTTTTTTAGAGGAGGTTTGCGACTCTGCTCTGAGGGAAAAAGCGCTCGCGGAGATTCAATTCAGTTTATTAATTAAAAGTTTAGAAAATAATTTTCTGTGGTTGACTTTCAACTAAATTTGTTTCCCACATCTCATGTGGTCTCTGAACTGTTTCCCTCTCATTCTAATATAAAACAAGTCCCAGGCCGTCGTCCTTCCTCTGACGAAGAGGATCCTTCCCAGGATTTTATACATCAGGTTTTTGAAGAGAGAAAAAAGAAATAGATCTCTTGCTTGTCCATAACAACAAACATCAAATAGCAAGGTATCGAATGAAGTACTACTTTGGTACTATTGTAAGATTTTAAACGACCCAGCCCACCATTGTTTGAGCAGCCTACACCAACGAAGAAAGAACACAGAAACCGCCAACTAGTGTTTTGGCAACCGGACACCAATGCACAATTACAAAAGGTCACGCAGGGTATAAACCTGACAGCTGTCGGCCTAACTTAATATGTTGTCTTCTCATTAGAGTGTTTGTATTTTATTATTTGGAGAGTTCGGCTCGGGGCGGCGTGGAGACGCAGTGACCTTCCTCTGACGAGTTCTTCTCTGTTTGCTGTCCGCAGCTTCGAGACGTTCGAGGTGAACAGCTTCGAGCAGTTCTGCATCAACTACGCCAACGAGAAGCTTCAGCAGCAGTTCAACTCTGTATGTAACGCGTCCGCTCGGCCCCCGGTCCACATTCGGACCCGTCTCGGGGAAGGATCGAGACTCTGATCAGCTGGATGTTGTTTTGTCTCCTCAGCACGTGTTTAAGTTGGAGCAGGAGGAGTACATGAAGGAGCAGATCCCCTGGACTCTGATAGACTTCTACGATAACCAGTCCTGCATAGACCTGATCGAGGCTCGACTCGGCATCCTGGACCTGCTGGACGAAGAGTGTAAAGTGAGACTGATGAGCTCCTGTTCTTCAGCTGTAGTCCTTCACAGTAGGAGGCCGGCAGAGCTTTCACTGCTTCTGCTGGGCTTTAATGGGTTCCTTAAACTGATGAAGCGGCTCAAAGGTCCAGCCGTGGACCGTCAGAGGGTTAACAAGTGTAGCTCCCAGATCACAGGTTAACATAGTTTCAGATGAAAGTCTTCTTTCTGGTCCTGATCTGGATGTTTATCCCGTTTAATTCTCCTGAACAGATGATTCGTTCCCTCCCGCCGGTCTGTGAAGTTGTCTGTTCTCCTCCTGTTAGCCTCAATAAAAGCCCTGACATAACCTGCGTCCTGTTTCAGGTGCCAAAGGGGACGGATCAGAACTGGGCTCAGAAGCTCTACAAGCAGAACTCCGGCAGCGCCCACTTTCAGAAACCCCGTATGTCCAACACGTCCTTCATCATCGTGCACTTTGCTGATAAGGTGAGCTCCACTCTCCTCTGCAGAACATGTACACACTGACCGCACAAAGACTCTGCAGGTCCCATCAGGAAGGACAAGACCGCTTCGTCACGCTAGAAATGGATCTCAGAGACCAGAACACCGAGGATTAAAATCCTACGTCTCAATCTACAGTTTGTAAGTAATCTGGAGATCAGTTGGGTCGATACAGGACAGGAAGTGGACCCGGGTCTGAGTGATGGATCACAGAGGCTCTGTGGTGTCAGACACCAGGACATAAAACAAAGTGTGGTGAGGGGGGGCAGGTCTGCCTGGGAGGTGGGACCCTCTCTGTCTGTCTGTCGTGTTGCGTTCACTGACCCTGCCGTCTCTCTGCAGGTGGAATATCAGTGTGAAGGCTTTCTGGAGAAGAACAGAGACACCGTCTACGAGGAGCAGATCAACATCCTGAAGGCCAGTCAGGTAAGGACCAGGACCAGGACCAGAACCAGAACCACAGCTCCAGCAGCGGTCAACACTTCAGACACTTTTATTTTACAGATTTACTGTTTTTCAAGCTTCTTTGCAGAGTGATTTTCACACTCGGGTTCTGTTTGAAGCGTAGGAAGGACTCTTTGTGACACTCAGCAGGACCCAGTTGGACCGGGTCTGTTCCAGACAGCTCGTCCTCTTTTTGTGTCTGTCCCTTTGATTTGCTTCACATTACGTCCTCCACCCTGACCTGAGTCCCGCTTCAGATCAGAGATCAGCTCTGATGAAGCCGGACTTGTTTATCTTCGGCAATTAAAGGTTCAGTCCTCATGCTCAGTCCCCGGTGTTCAGAGGTGACGAGCTTTCTAAATCCAGCCGGCTGACCTCAGATCTGTCTGCAGACACATTCACAGAGGGGGGAGGAGAGGCAGCTCGTGTCCCGTGGGAGACCTCCTCCTCCTCCTCCTGGTCCTACAGTTTAACAGTAGACCGGGTCAGCGTGGGGTCTGCTGCGCCGGGGCAGCTGCAGGCGCCAAACAAAGGGTTAATGGGAAGAAGTGGGTCAAAGTTTTTGTGTGTGTTCACTCATCTGAGAGTGTTTCTGTCGTCACTCTGAAGCTGATCACAGGTCAGGATGTGGTGCAGGACTGAGAGATGGACTCTGGTGGTCCAGACCTTCTGCAGCGCGCTGAGAGTCTGGGGGGAAAAAAGTCTGCTGTGAACACCGTCTGTCCTGTTAGCAAATATAAATATTATTTACAGTAATTAATAATCCCCTCGTCCCTGCTGGTTCTATCAGCCGTCACACTCTGTTAAACGTCTCCGTGCTCGGCTGAAGCTGCTGCTCGTGACGTGAGCTTTGTTGTTGTTTCCCTCTCAGTTCCAGCTGGTAGCAGACCTGTTCCAAGAGAAAGACGACGTCGTCCCCGCCAAGTCCTCCAGAGTGAACGTCCGCTCAGCCAAGACGGTTCCCAAAGCGCCCAACAAAGAGCACAGGAAGACCGTGGGTCTCCAGGTGAGCTCGCCTTCCTCTGCAGGACTCTGTGTTCAGTGTTGATGCTGCTGTCACTCACCTGCTGCTCTGTTGGTTCAGTTCCGCAGCTCTCTCACTCTTCTCATGGAGACTCTGAACGCTACGACTCCTCACTACGTCCGCTGCATCAAACCCAACGATGACAAGGAGCCCTTCTCGTGAGTCATGGTCATCTTCTCTGCACCACAAATAAATACATAAGAGTTCATTGTTAGATTCCAGTTAAAGAGGCCATGTGCTCCAGAGTCCTGAACACCTGCTCCAAAAACATGGGGGGCAGCACTTCACCTCATCCTGTCGTGACGCTGATCAAGAATGTCCACAGGTAGACAGAACAGGATTCACGTAGCTGACGCTTTTATCCAGAGAGACTTACAGCTGCTGTACAGGTCAGAGGTCGCACGCCTCTGGAGCAACGAGGGGTTAAGTGTCTTGCTCAGGGACACATTGGTGTCTCATAGGGGATTCAAAACCCAGGTCTCTCCCACCAAAGGCATGTGTCTTATCCACTGGTCCATCACCACCACAATCAAGCATTTCTTTTCGTTTCTACACTCCGCTAACTAAGTGAAAATGTCCTCGTAACTATTATACTACTGCAACAAACAGCTTTTTCCTGAGTGGTTGGATGTGCCTACTTTCTGTTTTGAAAGTGTCTTATTTTACCCAGAATTCATTGCAGTGTAGTCCTACTTAAGATAGTCAGGGTCTTCAGTGCGCTCTGATTTAGATGTCTTCCTGAAGTCTGAAACCGGCCCCAGGTCTCTCACACCAGAGACACGTGTCTCCTCCACTGCACCATCTGTACAGCCAACCTTACAGCAGGAGAGACGCGAGGTGAAGGGGACAGGTGGGGACAGGAGCTCAGTGATTGTAGTGTAATGTTTGTCAGCAGGTGGAGCTGCGGTCCAGACATCAGTTCAGGACTTCCTGAGAGTCGTCAGTTTCCTTCAGCATCGCAGTAACCCAGTGACAGCTGTCTGTCCATCCATGCTAACTGCTGACAGCTGATTCAGCTTCTGTTAATGGGGAACAAATGCAGGCTGTAAAGGGAGCAGCGCCGCCTGTAGCTGACCTCACAGCAGCACAGCTGATCAGCTCTTACAGGCCTCACTTTCCCAAACCAATGTATATCCAATATGTTGGTGTTAGCATGTTAGCATTCAGTCTGAGAATGTAAAGTTTGTACATCAGCAGCACAGCAGAGGTTGATACAGTTTGTATTTATACATTTCTGTTTTTTAGCTTGCTGCCATTAATCTAGAAAAAGACGAGAGTGAATAGAAATGACAGCCGGCCTGCAGAGAGCTGCGGTTAGTTAGAGAGGAAACTAAATGTTCTGCAGAGCGACTTTAATCTGAGTCTCAGCGTCTGTCAGTGTGACGCTCAGCTTCTTACAGGACAGTCATTGTTTCTGTCTCTGAGTCGACCAGCTCACATGTCTGCACAGTTAAATTAGATGCAGGGCCTCAGTCACATGTTTCAGAGTCTGTCAGGCGGCTGTAAACGGGCTGCAGGTCCTGGTGCTGCGCGGCCATGCCGAAGAAGAAGACGAGGTAGGAGGAAGTGTTCGCTGTCCAACTCCGTTTAAATGTGACCGGGTTGATCTGAAATGTTTGTGTCGCTGCAGGTTCGACTCCAAGCGAGCGGTGCAGCAGCTCCGAGCCTGCGGAGTCCTGGAGACGATCCGGATCAGCGCAGCCGGGTATCCGTCCAGGTGAGTCCGCTTCTTCTCTGGAACGACAGCACGGATGCAGAGACTGCTCTCAGATCTGCAGATGTGACTGAGCTCAGAGATGTGAGGTCTCATTGTTCCACTAACATCTGTCCTCTTCACGAGAGGACAGAAACTCAGCAGCTCCCATGAAACCTAGAGATCTGTGTGACGTGTAGAGCTGCGGCCGGGTTTGTTACATAACGGAGTTTAAAGTCGGTCTGCAGCCGTCACTTAACCTGCACGTTATCTTCTTCAGGTAAAACGTCTTCAAGTAGTGAAAAATATTCATTACTGTTTCCTGAGAGACGGCACAGAGGACACGACAGACTTCCCTGTGTCCTCGTTACTTACTGAATAAAGCAGAAAGAATAAAGAAATAACCATATGACGGGCCCTCAGAGGATAGAAAACATGTGCCGTGTGTTTCCAGGTGGACGTACCCGGACTTCTTCAGCAGGTACCGAGTGCTGCTGAAGAAGTCTCAAATGATGTCTGCAGACAAGAAGCTGGTGTGTAAGAACCTGCTGGAGACGCTGATTAAGGTGAGGACACTACTTTCATCTGCGTACTCTGTGTTACTCTACACTGAACCGGAGCTTTGGCTTTATTTGGGTGTAGGCGGTTGATGTGGACAGGCTGGCGCGTGTTACACTAAGATCTTTTGTCTCTCCGGTGTCTCAGGAGCCGGACATGTTCCAGTTCGGTAAGACAAAGATCTTCTTCCGGGCCGGGCAGGTAGCGTACCTGGAGAAGCTCCGGGCGGATAAGTTCCGCTCGGCCTGCATCAAGATCCAGAAGACGGTGCGAGGCTGGCTGCAGAGAGTTCGATACCGCAAGATCCGGAAGTCTGCCATCGCTCTGCAGAGATACGGCCGAGGGTACCTGGCCCGCAGGTGGGAACACGAGAAGCCTCCTCGACACCGGCACCTCGCCGTGCTCTACAATACTGCGCGTTCATTTACTCGCTCCATGTCTGATTAGTGTCTTAGTGTGTGCTGGATGAAGCAAACATGAGGTTAGACCGCCTGTCTCACGTCGCAGGACTGAGACCTGGTCCCTCTGCCCTCCCGTCCTCTAACTGATGATGTTTTGGTTTCTTCCTGCCTCAGATATGCAGACTTCCTGCGTCTGACTCGAGCCGCCGTCATCTCTCAGAAGCAGTACCGCATGGTGAGAGAGCGGCGGGCCTACCTGAGGGTGAGACAGGCCGTGGTCACCATCCAGGCCTTCGCCAGAGGGATGTTCACCCGCAGGATTTACTACGAGGTAAAAGAAACTGCGGTCTTCTGTCTCAGCTCTGCCTGTCCTCCTCTGTCCGTCTGGAGTTTGTTGACCTAACGAGTGAATTGGAGGCGAAGTGTTTCCAATCTGAGGTGGAATGTGATCAGCTGGACTCTGAATGCCTCCTTGTTCTGTAGTCGTCTGAAAACCTGTCCTCCGCAGTTCCTGCTGCACCACAAGGCCATGATCATCCAGAAGAGCGTCCGCGGCTGGCTGCAGAGGAAGAAGTTCAGGCGGCGCGCGACGCCGCCGTCACCATCCAGTGTGCGTTCAGACGCACGCGAGCCAAGCGGCAGCTGCAGCAGCTGAAGATCGAAGCTCGCTCTGCAGAGCACCTGAAGAAGCTCAACACCGGCATGGAGAACAAGATCGTCCAGCTGCAGAGGAAGATGGACGACCAGGTACGCACAGCACGTACATACTGATACTACCAGTACTACTGCCGAGTACACATTTACTACAGGGGACCAGTCATGAGTCAGAGAGGCGTCTGAAAACGTGAAGCATCATCAGAACTATTATTACTAATGATAATAACAATGACTTTATTCAGGACTCAAGCTACAAAATAACAATAAATATACAGTACAGAGTTCTACATTAATAAACACAGGAGCGCCAGTGTCTCCACAGTCTAGATGTATACCTGACTGAGCTAAAGCTTGAATAATTCTATTTTCAGAGACAGAAATTCTACACATGTATCGAAAAATAAGATTTGTTATTAAGGCAGAGCATGTAGGCACCCCTACATTAACAAACATTTGACGAGCACTACACCATCTAGGTTGTTTTAAGAGCTGTCTCATGCCATCATTATACGCTACATTCAGCCTCTGCATGTTCTTTTTGCTGTAAGACCGCCACAGGTGGGCAGTAAATAGTGGTGGACAAATGCTTTGAATAAGGCTACCTTAACATAAGCAGAACACATGCCAAATTTACCTGCAAGCACATTAGCCTGAGCATATATCTTCTTATCGTCCGATAAATCTTTTACAATATGATGGCCGAGATATTTAAACTCATCACGCACTTTACCAGATAAAAAGAAATCAGGGAACACTAATTTCCTGTCTTCTTTACTGCTACAAATCTGCTGTTGTAACCCAGCACTAGATCATCTGCATACATAAGGTGGTTTGTGAGAGTATTGCCTGTCATACATCCTGTATTACATTTATTTAGTTGTTGTGACAAGTCACCCATATACACGTTAAAAAGGAAAGGTGACAAAATACCACCCTGCCGAACACCATTACCAACAGTAAATGGTTCTGATACAGAGCCCCCCCATTTCACCTGCACCGACTGGTGTGAATACCAGAAGACTAGATTTCTCTGTTTACCCGATCAAATGCCTTAGAGGCATCTATAAAACACATAAACGTTGTGGAATTCTGGCTATTATAGAAATCTAAAATTTCCTTTAAGGCAAATATCCACATATCTGTACTGTGCTGACATTTAAAACCAAATTGGTTCACAGTCGTAAAAATATACTGTTTTTCTCTCCAACACTTTGGATACACTACTAGCTAGGGCTAAAGGTCTGTAGTTGTCCAGTTTTGTCTTTAATGACGGCCACTAATAAAACAGGTAAGATAGATTCAGGCAGAATCCCATGAGCTAGAAATCCTGTCATACAAATAGCAAACAGGGGAACAAGTTTCTTGCTTGCATATTTTGGATGTTCAGCGGTTATTTTATCGGTCCCACACACTTTATTATCATCTAATCTCAATACTGCAGATTGTGCCTCTTCTGAATTAATAACCCCATTTTCATCATTATCAATATTTTCCTCCCAATACAGTTAAACAGCTCATGATAATGTTGCCGCCACATCTGGAAAATGAGCCACTGACACCCTCAATATTTGGGGGTAAAGACATTTTAGTACTGTTCCTGGCTCTAACCTCTTTCCAAAAGTCATTAGAGCTTCTGTTATGCATCTTACATGCCAAAGAGTCAGACCTCATCGAGTTCTCATTCTTTTTTATATATCTTAGTGCATATTTAACATTTCTTCTCTTCAAATAAAGGGTCCTGTCTGACTCTGCCGGACTCTATCCAGTCTTTAAATGCACACCGAGCTTTGGCATGAAGTTCTGCTACATGCTCGTTCCAACCAGGTTGATGCTATATGCCATTCGCTGAGGTTTATAAAAATGCCTACTGGCAATATTAAGTGTTTCAACAACTGAGTCATAAAAAACACATAAATCATTACTATGTTGTGAATTAATATCACAACATCTTATGGCGTCTTTGGGCAGTGCAATGTTTCCCAGCAACCCATCAGTCCTAACATAATACTTCTGGAAATCTTCCACGGTTAATTTAGTCCAGTCTAATCTTCCTGTGTTAATGCTGTTAGCCTCCGTAGTTAACACTGGTAAGTTTTTAACATTTAAAGACTCGTCATCGCATCCAGCAGTAATAATAATAATAATAATAATAATAATGCCTGTTTCTCCTGCTTCCTGTCTGTCAGTCCAAAGAGTACAGGACTCAGAACGAGCAGCTGGTTCTGGTGAACACCAGTCTGGGCGCGGAGGTGAACAAGCTGCAGAAGCAGCTGGAGCAGGTCCGGAGTCAGCAGGGCGAAGGAGGCCAGCTGACGTCTCTGCAGGAGGAGCTGGAGAGGCTGAGGGAGGAGCTGCAGGAGGCGTCGGCCCAGAGGAAGAAGCTGGAGGAGGAGCACAGCAACGAGAAACTGGGGCTGCAGCAGGTGAGGGCGGGAGGGGACCCGCGTGATGCTAACAGCTGATCCAGGGTGAAGTCTGCTGTTAAAGTCCTGAGGGCCCCAGAGGCCCCAGACTCTGTGTAAGATCACTGTAAATCCCTGTGTACAGTCAGCAAAACTAAGTCTGGAAACACATCGAGGCCCACAGCTGACCAAGTGGCCCCGGGGCCCTCTAGCAGGTTTATGTGGCCCTGAAGTGTCAGATCAGCATGGAGACGGCGTGAGGCTGTCTGCAGAAATAAATCAAATACTAGATCGTGTTTCTTTCACCACCATCAGAACGATGAGAGCGACACTGTGTGACGCTCGAGTCGAGCTCTAATAAAGATATTTTAAACTTTATCATTCATTTAATAAATGTAATACTTTTCATAAAGTCCTTAGAGGGAATCTCAGTGGTCCAGCTGGTCCAGAGGATCTGTTGGGACTTCAGGTGAAGCAGAATCAGGTTTATTGTATATGAGACTAATTCTGAACCTGCTAAACTGCACAGGAACGTCGATGTTAACTAACTGTTGAGCTTCCTTCTTCTTCTTCGGTGGTATCACTCTGGATGGATGTTTTTGTCTCCGCCTTCAGAGGGTGGAGGAGCTGGAGAGGGAGAACACTCTGCTGAAGAGCGAGAAGGAGGAGATGAACCGGAGGATCCTGCAGCAATCAAAGAGCATCGAAGGTGAGCCCTGAACACGCCCACCTGAGAACACCTCTGGTCTCTCAGGTTCCATCTCAGCTGACTGAACCGCGTTTCAAACAGCACGCTGACCCTCACAGGCTCCCGTACGCTGACAGGTTGTGAACGGCGGTGTGTGTGTGTGTGTGTGTGTTTCAGAGGACGACAGCAGTCTGGCTCAGAGGGAGTCGTCTCTGCAGGCTGAGCTGGACCAGGAGAGGCAGCGCTACCAGAACCTGCTCAAAGAGTTCTCCAGGCTGGAGCAGAGATACGAAAACCTGAAGGAGGAGGTGTCCCTGGCCAAGGTGAGCCCCCGAGGAAATACCTCATTTGCATATTAGAAATAGTAATAGTAAAGCTGGGGTAAATAACTCTTTGACTGTGGTGTCTGCACCTAAAACTTTCTCTGGAAAATCATCTGAGCTGTCGGAGGCGACGCTCTGGAGCCAGCTGGTTAACTTCTTCAGGCTCATTCACTCGCCGGGGGACACGTCCCCACCACTGTCTGAATTTAGCTTTCAGTAAGAAATGTTAGATAACAATAAAGTTCTGTGAGAAAGATTTTTCAGTTTAAATATAAACAGATCTGCTCTGTCAGAAGGCGGGACTGCTGCTCA